CAACAGTTAGAATCGGACATGGAACAATGGACTGGTTCAAAACTGGGAAAGGAGTACATCAAGGCTATATATTATTACTGTGCTTATTTAACTTACAGAGTACATCAGGCAAAATGCCAGGCTGGTTGAAGCACAAGCTGGAATTAAGATTGCCGAAAAAATATCAAAAACCTCACATATGCAGATGATAGCATATCTGCAGAAAGTGAAGAGGAACTAAAGAGCCTCTTGATGAGGGTAAAAGAGGAGAGTGAAATGCTGGCTTAAAACTCAACATTCAAAAAACTAAGATCATGGCATCCAGGCCCATCACTTGATGGCAAATATTAATAGAAGGGGGAAAAGTGGAAGCAGTAACAGATTATTTTTTTAGGCTCCAGAATCACTGCAGATGGTGATTGCAGCCATGAAATTAAAAGACGCTTGCTCCTTGGAGAAAAGTTATGATAAAACTAGATAGCATATTAAAAAGCAGAGACATCACTTTGCTGACAGAGGTCTATATAGTCAAAGCTACCATTTTTCCAGTTAATATGTATGGATGTGAGAGTTGGAACATAAAGAAGGCTGAGTGCCAAAGAATTGATGCTTTTAAACTGTGATGCTGGAGAAGACTCTTGAGGGTCCCTTGGACAGCAAGCGGATTAAGTCCTAAAGGAAATCAACCCTGAATATTCATTGGAATATTCACTGAAGCTGAAGCTCCAATACTCTGGCCACTTGATGCGAAGAGCCGACTCATTGAAAAAGACCATGATGCTGGACAAGATTGATGACAGGAAGAAAAGTGGGTGACAGAGGATGAAATAGCTGGATGGCATCACCGACTCAATGGACATGAGTTTGAGCAGACTCCAGGAGAATGTGAAAGACAGGGAAGCCTGGTGGGCTGCAGTCCATGGGGTCTCAAAGAGTTGGACATGACTTAGGGACTGAAGAGCAACAGCAGCTTCCCTTCCCATCTGGTAGTCACTAATCCATCCTCTATATGCTTACTTTTGTCTCCCTTTGTTCATTTATTTACTTTAATATTCTTCATGAGTGCAGTCATATGGTAACTGTCATTGCCTGATTTGTTTCACTTAGCATAACACCCTCTCAGTTTTGGTTTCAGTGAAAGTTGCTCAGTAGTGTCTGACTCTTTGTTGACCCCATGGACTATACAGTCCATGGAATTTTCCAGACTAGATAGAATCCTGGAGTGGGCAGCCATTCCCTTTCCAGGGGTTCTTCCCAACCCAGAGATCGAACCCAGGTCTCCTGCATCGCACGCGGATTCTTCACCATCTGAACCATCAGGGACACCCATAATACCCTCTAGGTTATCACAAATGACAATATTTCACCTTTCCTATGACAGAGTAGTATTCCATTCTTTGTATATACAATCTCTTGACCCATTCTTCTGTTAATGGAGAGTTAGGTTGTTTCCATATCTTGGCTATAACAAATAATGCTGCAATGAATACTGGAGTGCATATATCTGTACAAATTACTTTTTTGGTATTCTTTGGATATCCAGAAGCGGAATTGCTGGGTCACATGGTAGATCTAATCTTAATTTTTTGAGGACCCTTCATACTTTTTTCCATAGTGGCTGTACCAATTTACCAAATTTATCAATGTCAATTGGTGCAGCCACTACAGAAAATTATCACCAACAGTATATGATGGTTTCCCTTCTTTCACATCCTGTTCAGCACTATTACTTCTTATCTTTTTGATAACAGCCATTCCAATGGGCATGAAATGATATCTCATTGTGGTTTTGATTGACATTTCCCTAATAATTAGTGATGTTAAACATCTTTTCATGTGCCTGCTGGTCATCTGCACATCTCCTTTGAAAATATGTCTATTCAGATTCTCTGCCCATTTTTTAATCATTTGTTGTTGTGGTTGAGTTGTATGAGTGCTAAGTTGCTCAGTCATTTCTAACTCTTTGTGACTCCATGGACTGTAGCCTGCCAGGCTCCTCTGTCCGTGGAATTCTCCAGGAAGAATACTACAGTGGGGTAGCCATCCCCTTCTCTAGGGGATCTTCCCGACCCAGGGATCAAACCTGTGTCTCCTGCATTGGCAGGGCAGATTCTTTACCACTGTGCCACCTGAGATGCCCCATATATTTGGATAATAACCTCTTACTGGATATATGATTTGCAAATATCTTCTCCCATTCAGTAGGTAGTTTGTTGTTTTGTTGATTGTTTCCTTTGCTGTGCAGACATTTCTAAGTTTTATTTAATCCCATTGGTTTATATTTGCTTTTGTTTCCCTTGCCTAAGTAGACATACTTAGGAAGATATTGCTAAGACTGATGTCAAAGACTGTACTGTCTTTGTTTTCTTTTTAGAGTTTTATAGTTTCAGGTCTTATATTCAAGTCTTTAATCCATTTAAACTTTTTGTGTATGGTATAAAATGAAAACCTTTAATTATCTGAATAAATTCTCCTTTAGCAAGCAAAACACTCAATATTATACATTTATAGGTAATCCAAATTATAACTAATATATATTGATATTCTTAAGTAACATGCTGACTTAAGCCCTTTGAGGGGTATTAAAATAGTACCATGAATATTTAATTTTTCTTAACATTTTGTAAAAATATACGTTGGAAAAGAGGTTTTACATTTCTAAACAGTCTCCAATTCCAATTGTTGTATGGCAACAATGACCTTTAAAATTCACCTCATGTTTTGGAAGGCTATGACCACAACTCTAGGGAAATAATGCAGAAACCAAGGAATGAAGTGAAAATGTACACACACCTTATACTTGAACTATGTCATGCTGGGAATTTGCACTTGATTATAATGAGCCTTTTATAACAGGGTGCTAGAGCTAGACTTTAGGGTTGGAAAAACAAAGAAAGGCTAGAGTGCTGTCAGCAGTGCTTTTCAGTCTTTAGCCAAGTGCCTAAGAATCACCTGGAGAACTTGGGAAAATTCAAGACTGTTGTGCCTCCTCTCAGAGGTTCTCAGAGACTCTGTTTCAGTAGTCTTGAGAGGAGCCAAAGAATCTGCATTTCTTACAAGCTTCCAGGCGATGCTGTTTACTGAGTGCTATTGTTGTTCAGTTGCTAAATTGTGTCCAACTCTTTGCCATCCCATGGACTGGAGCCTACTAGGCTCCTCTGCCCATGAGATTCTCCAGGCAAAAATACTGGAGTGGATTGCCATTTCCTTCCCCCAGGTATCTTCCCAACCCAGGGATTGAACCCACATTTCCTGTTTGGCAGGGGCAATTCTTTATCACTAAGCCACCTGGGACCCACTGTTCTAAAGAGCACTGACATCATAATATGTTATGGGGACCAGAATGCTTTAGAGATTTTTTACATTCTTTGGGTTTCTGAGGAAAACAAAACCCAGAGAGGTAGACATATTTTTGTTAAAGACAAAATAGAGGAGAAAAGTTTACGAAGCAAACAATGACATCTTTAATGCAACAAAAGGTGCCAGTTTTATTTAGCAGATCATGGGCCTAAGGACACAGGTATGCTGGCTTAGAGAATGATTTATGTGGAAATAACCACACATGACTGTGCTAAGATTTATCTAGAAGATGTTAACCTGCCATTTTCTCACATTCTGTTAACTCAAGTGAACTGTCCAGGTCTTATCATTTGTGCTCTGACAAGAGCCTAAGCCACAACCACACTTCAGTGTAGCCTTCTTTGGAAAACACTTTGCTAAACTAAAGCCAAAAGCAATAGGGACATTCCAAGGGTCTTGATCTGTTTTTGAAAAACAAAGCACAAAGAATCAATGAAACATGAAGACTGAGAGGAGGTGTTCTTCAAACAGACAAATTGAGGTTATTTTTCAGTTGAATCTAAACAGATTTCATGGGCTTCTCTGGCTGGTTTTAGACGGTTGGAGGTTGCTTTCAAGTGGTAACTTCCTTTTTTCCCACTGAAATTATCAGTGAGCATTGAACCCTGGGCTCAATTATATATAACAAGGTTTCTTCAAATTGCCCTGTATGTATTCTACATTTGCGGGGTATCTTGGTCAAATATCACTTCTGTAACATGAATTGAAGTAAAATGATAAGGGTTGTATTTCCAGTTATAGAAAACAAATTCTGCCATTTTCAAGTTGCGTTTGGATAAGTCCAAGAGAAAATATAGTTTCAGGTCATTATATATTCAATTCAAATAGGTCTATCACTTTAATAAATCACAAGGAATCCCTGGGTGGGGAAGATACCCTGGAGGAGGAAATGGCAACCCACTCCAGTATTCCTGCCTGAAAAATCTCAGGGACAGAGGGGCCTGGTGGGCTACAGTCCAAAGGGTCGAAAAGAATGGGACACAACTGAGCAACTAAGCAGAGCAGAGCTATAAACATGCATAATTAACATGTCAAATTAAGTAAGTCATGACTTTCTATAAGAAACCCAATGTCAATGAGATTTTAAAACAATGTCTCTTCTAAATATTATTTTTTTATGCAACTAGATCTGTGTCATCAATTTGCTGGATAATATACTCTATTTGCTGTGGCAGATTAACAAAACTGGATCTAATCGTTTCTTAGCAACTACAGATGCTTTAAAATCCTTTGGCTATAGTCTTTATGATATAGGCCATTGGTTTCAAGATTTTAAGAGTACAGATGCTCAAGTCAATGTTTCATGAACCTTATTCTAAATTTGTTATGATTCACAGCCTCAATTCATTCTGAGTTGCTATAATTCCAAATTCTGAAAGGTTAGCTCATTGCAGGTCTTACTGGAATAATGCTAGATTATAAAATTTGTCATTCAGTGAAACACACAAAAGGAAGGTGATTTTTCAGACAGATACCAATTTAAAGAATCAGTTGTAGCCTTATTCTATGCCAAAGTGTCCCTTAGTCTCTCTAGACTTCTTTATTGATTTAGACACTTGGTTTCAAATGCTGTCAATGGTAAACTGTCCATCTTCATTTGTTTCCTTACAAGGACAGTGATAAGCTACACAATGGAGGTGGCTTCTTTTTTCATTACTTACCTAGATTTTGCCACATGCTGAAAATTTCACAACCCATTGTTACCCGCATGTCACCATATCTGAAACAGAACAGAAAGCAAACCTGATAAAAAGACTCCAGAAAAAAGAAGTTATCTGTGTCTTTTTAGGACACAATCTATCATTCTGAATTAAAAGACAACATGTTCTTAATTAAAAATGTTTAATGTGCACATACTTTACTGAGGTATAACTGACATATACATAACAATCTGAATATCTGTATATATTGCAAAATTGCCACCACAGTGAGTCCAGTTGATACCAGTCACCATAACTAGTCACAATGTTTTCTCTTTTGATGAAAACTTTCAAGATGCACTCTCTTAGCTACTTTCAAATATGCAATGCAGTATTATTAACGAGAATCACCAGTGTTGTATGTACATTACATCCCCATGGCATTCATTTTATAACTGGAAATTTGTACAGTGTATTAATACATGTCTTGATGCCTCTAATTCAAATTCACATATTAACCCCTGAGTGAAACATATTTGTCTCATAATTTTTGGCTCCTATAGTATTTTTGAATCCTGAAAGATTGAGGACAAAGATTTCTAAATAAGCTCAAAATAGTGAAATCCCCAGAAAAGTCACTTGCTGTCCTCTTAGTCATTGCCTCTCCACTTTGATTTCTAGTTATGGAGATCAGATTTATGAATCACTCCAAGTAAAATACTTTTTAAAGGGCACAACATTTGATTTGACTCATATTCTTACCCAATTATACACTGGTACTTACTTTTCTAATACTTTTTTCTTTTTGGAAGGTGTAAACATCTCTAACTGCAGACACAACTGGTTTATAAAAATGACCGCAAGGTAAAAGTAGGAATCCCAGATCTAAAATGAGAATGACACATTTAAATATTATGGGGTTACAAAAATATTTACAGGTGAAGTGACAAAATATCTTGGATTTGCTTCAAAAGTGGTAAGTGGATGGGGGGAGAGTTGCAATAAGATGGGCCATGAGTTGATAGTAGCTGAACCTAGGTATGGGTACATGAGGGATTCATCATACTATTCTCTTTACTTTTATACATCCATGAAATTTCCTATAACAAAGAAGCAAACTAACTAAATAGATACTACTTTTATATTGTTGTATCCCAAGTTTCATGGGCTCTCTGGTATATGCTAAATGGTAGATACTTCATTTTTCTCCTAACATGTCTGTTTGTCTCCAAGAAGGCTGAGGCATAAGCTGGATAACTTTATTTCAGTGTGATTTCATTTTGGAACCCCTTTTAATGTAGGACTCAAAAAAAAAAAAAAGATACATACACTATTTTGGATATGCTAATTGATTTAAATTCAGAGAGTACATAGAAATTCCCCACCGAGACAAATCTTCTAAGTTCTCTTACACCAAAAACGCATTAGAAAGAGATCAAAATAAAATTTCCAGAAATAAATGTAACCAAAAACATGGAGGACATAGGGAAAGAAATGACTTTTCTATGGACACCATGTAAAATTAAAGATTAATATGAAACATTATAAAGAATTAATATATTTTATACATAAAGAGTGCTCACAAATAAAAAAGAATATAAAATGGGCAGAGAGGGAGGTGGGAGGGGGGATCGGGATGGGGAACACATGTAAATCCATGGCTGATTCATGTCAATGTATGACAAAACCCACTACAATATTGTAAAGTAATTAGCCTCCAACTAATAAAAAAAAAAAAGCTTTTCTAAAAAACAAAACCAAAAAAACTCTAAGCAAAATAATGAACAAAAGAATAGATACCTCACAAAACATGAATTTTAGTCAATAATTAGTCAATAGCTAATAACTAGTTAATGATTAATAACCAATGAATAATTAAAAACATAACTAGTGAGAAATGTGGGCTTCCTCTTGGCTCAGATGGTAAAGAATCCGCCTGCAATACAGGAGACCCCGGTTCGATCCCTGGGTTGGGAAGGTCCCCTGGAGAAGGAAATAGCAACCCACTCCAGTATCCTTGCCTGGAAAATCCCATGGATGGGGGAACCTGGCAGGCTACAGTCCATGGGGTTCAAAGAGTCAGACATGACTGAGCGACTTCACTTCACCTCAGTGAGAAATGTAAATCAAGCAAAAAATTGTTCTGCTTATCAAAGTGCCCCCCAAAATGGTCTCCTCTAGTGCTGATGTACACCTAGGTAATCAAATATAATTGCTACAACCTTTAACTCAACATTTTCATTTATAAATATTTTTCCAAAGAAACAATTAGGAATATAAGTCAAATTTTATTTTGTAAGAAATACATAAAAAGAGTAATTTATGAGAATAAAACAGTAGAAACAAACTGAATATTAAAAAGTAATGTGGTGATTATGAAATTTTGATATTTTGATTGTTATAAAGTATAAAGACATTTATTATGCAACCATTAAAATTCCACTGGTTTCTATTATACTTTTTGTATTTTCTAGTTCTCTGATAAGGAAATTTTATTGAATGTTTAGTATAAAATATGTTATTTTTAAAAGAATGGGAAATTAAGATGTCAAAAACATAAAACACCACTAAGAAGGGAAACCAGGATAGGCACTGCCCATCTTTATTTACCATTTTTCATTTTCTATTTAAAAAATGGTATACTGAGAATTCTTAGAGACCTAGGCATATCATATTACATTACAAACTTACAGAGAGATCTGCCCTAAAGAATCTTACTAATTTTTCATTTTTTTTCTTTTCACTAGTTCATTCTAAAATATAAGAAGATAGAGATCTAAAGGAACTAAACAGTTTACTTTGTAAATATGTTCTTTATATAAACTCTATTTTAAAAGATGTTTTAAAACATTATGCTCTAAGTTCTTTTTGTCATGCAGGGGATCAAAAAGAAAAAGAATTAAAATTTACAGTAACAGTAAAGAACATTCTTTCCTCTTAAGCACTATGATTTTGACCAGGTTGATGAACATAGTTATAGACCTAAGTTATTCACAAATAGAATGAGGAACTCTTAACATTATTCATAATTGAAACTAATATGCTCCAAGATTAATTTGAGGTAGCCAGAATAATTTTATTTTCCTATTACTAAGAGAAAGAAAATTCATGAGGCAATTTCTTGAGGGAAAATGTAAAACCTTTTAGCCCAAGCAAGATAGTTATCTAAATGGATACTGACCTTATAATCAAAGTTTTCATTTAAGAAGTTCTTCCGAAGTGCATCTGACAGGTACAGAACTGTTGTAATAATGACGCTAGTGATAAAAAAGAATACATTTTAAGTTGAAAACTTCACATTAGTGAAAACCATTTATTAGGCAAGAATAAAGTAATTAAGACAAAAGAAAACCTCTTCAGTAAGCCTGTGGAACAATATTAGATAATTCACATTTGAAATAAAAAAGAGGACACCTAGGAAAAAAAAGTAAAAGAATCTATCACTGAAATGATATGCAGAAAAATCTATAAATTCATATGACTCAGAATTATATTGTCTTGATGTTTTACAATTTTTAAATTTCTAAACAAAGCAAAAATTTTTAAATAAATTTACAATAGTCTATATTTTATTAACATGGAAGAAAGTATAAAAACTTATAAAATACAGCAAAAGAGAGAGAGCCCACAGATGAAATGGGCAGGCTAAAGCAATAGATTATATTGAGTATTTATTTGACTGTCTTCTCTCTGCTCTTCCCTATTTAAGGTGTTAGCGGGCATGTAAGAGCTATGGGAGTCAGATTCCCTCTCCATGGTGACAAGATTGCACTAAAGAAACCATTACAGACTGTGAAATTGTTTATATCCTAGTACTAAGCTGTGTGAAACTGACAGTGTTACAGTAGTTTAGAGAATGGGGCATCTCTGGGCTGGAGAATTAGGGAAAGCCTGTCAGAGGGGCCATATATAGTCATCTGTATCTTGCTAGGGAGATTATAAAAGGAAGATTTAGTAAGCATCCTTGGTTAACTCTTGAGTTAAGCAATTTTTTAAAAATCTGCTCCTTTTTACAGCTACAAGAGCATATGTTCAAAACTGAATGCAATTCCAATTGACTCATTTAATGTCAGATAACAGCATTTATTGAAACAAGATAGGTCACTCCCCAAACCACCAGAAACCAAGCACCAATTTATAAATGATTGATATTTAAAATCTCTTTGGCCTTTCCTAAGATGCATGCATAAGGAAATGCTTGTGATGTGATGAGGCCCTAGTTCTCATTGCAGGATTTGTAACTGAGGGACGTAATTGTATGACCCTAGGTAAAATAACATGAAACAAAACAAAACACCTCATCAACCTCACACCTTGGTTATCCTACTTGTAAAATAGAGATTAAAAGAATATTTACTCATTAGAAGAATATTTATAGTTTCTGGAGAACATAAATGTTCACTGATGAAATCCAAGGTGGTAACTGGTTAAGTTTCTAAAGCAGTTCATTCAAATCTTAGTATATAAAACTAAAGCTTAATTATCAGAAAATGGAATGCTATCAGGCAAGGAAGGGGCTCTTTGTCCAGCACCTATTGTATTGTTGGGCTTCTAAGTTTAAAGAAGAAAATTTTGCATCCTTAACAAATGTTTTCCTTCAATAGTCAATGAAGAAACATACACAGAACCATGACACCTGAGTTTCACATCAAAACCACCTTCTGGCCTGCAACTCTAGCTTGAACTGTTGTTCAGAAACAGTAACCTCTAGTGTTAGTAAAACATGACATATCTGAGATTTGGATTATTGGGCCCAATGTTGTGGAAAGGAGCCAACAAACTCAACCTTCCAAGTGAGATGATTCCTTGCCAAAGACTATTCATTTGTAATTTATATGCTGGATTCCAAACACATGAACAAAATCCACGGCTTCTTGAACAGCGCTTGCTGGTAAACAACAAGGACTCTCTCTGACTTTATGAAGGACCTGTGAGCCTCAAGCTGACTGCTTACTGGAATCACTGGGGAGTTTTAAAAAACACAGATGTCTGGATCACACCCCAAAGATTTAATAATTGGACTGGGGCGCAATGTGAATTTCAGGATCAGTAAAGCTCCCAGGTGATTCCTTTGCACACCCAGAGTTGAGAACCACTGCTCAAGACAAACATTTTTAAAAGTTAGACAAACTTCCATGGATGCCTGGTGATCACTTAAGATGTAGATCATGATTCAGCTGGCTTGGGATAGGGCCAAAAGTTCTGCATTTCTTACAAGCGCCAGGAAATGTTCATGCTGTTGATTCACAATCCAACTTTTGAAGAGCAAGGTTCTGGAGAGGTTCAAGTCAGAAACACATTCCAAACAACACTGCTTCACATTCTCCTGCCTTCGAGAATTTTAGGCCAGTGACCACTGTGGTTCTTTAACAGGACATGCATCCTTGCTCTACACTGAATATCTCACCCTCAATCCAAGGGTGCTTTATCATCAGGCATAAGAAGTACAGGGCACAGGCCTTTTCAGGGGCTTTGGAAAGTACTGCGTGTGTTTGTTAGTTGCTCAGTCATGTCCGACTCTGTGCGACCCCATGGGTTGAAGCCTGCCAGACTTCTCTGTCCATGAGGTTTTCCAGGTAAGAATACTGGAGTGGGTTGTCATTTCCTTCTCCAGGGGATCTTCCTGACCCAGGGATCGAACCCAGGTCTCTTATATTGCAGGAAGATTCTTTACTGTCTCAGTCACCAGGGAAGCCTGGCAATTTATTCCATAGGCCAATACTTCAAAAAACAAAATGTAAAAACTGCTTTTCATTTTGGCATGCGGCAGGTGGTATGATGAGGGATAAGACCTTCAAAAATATGACTTTCCAGGGCTAAAAAGATCTTAAAATGACAATTTCAATCGCTTTTCATTTATGCTTATAGTCCTCAGCCCAAGTCACAGAGGCAGCTCCCAGAGCTTTTTATGTCTCAGCACTAAGACAGTTTCCTGGCATACAGACCCTCAATCAGCTAAAAAGGCATATATATATTATGGCTCCTTCACTGTGGTGGAAACCTGTAGTATTTAAGGATTTTTTTTTTACTTGTTCTAATTTACCCAAAACCATGTGGCTCCTTTGGCTTTATTCTTTTACTCATGACTCAGTTTCTGAATAGGTGGACTTTTCAAATCTCAGGGTTCCAATTCAATAGCCAAGAAAGGTTTGCAATCTGTTACTACAAATGGTCAAAATACTGATGTCTGCCATAGGAATGCAAGCATAAAGACCACTTTTGACAACACTGATCTATGGCAGAGCATGATAAATCTATGGCAGAGCATGATAAATCTATGGCAGAGCATGATAAATCTATGGCAGAGCATGATAAATATATGGCAGAGCATGACAAATGTGTACATAAAAGGGAAACCAGCACACAGGAGATCAAAACTCTCTCTTCAAATTTTCCAGCTGCCACTTCATTTCTGGCACTTAGAAAGTATTTTTATGCAATGCCATCCCCCCTTAGAGAAACCTCATCCTATAAACTGTCCTTTTGAGAACTACTCTAACCTGATAATCTGCTCAAGCAAAAGCCCAGCTCCATAAATTATAAATAAACTGAATATTTTGGATTCCAATATCCAGTTTTTGGATAAACTGGCCATCAACAAGGTTAATGTACTTGGAAGATGACAAATTCCCTACAAGCTGCAGGGTTAAGAGGGCAGATCAAACCCTGGACAGCCATCAGGGAAACTGGCCTAAGCTAGCGGTCCTCAAATGTCAGTACATGAGTAGCACCTGAAAGATACATAAGGCTTTAGGGCCTCACCAGAGGCTACGGCTTGGTGAGATCACGCCAGGGCTCAGCCACGTAATTCTGATGTGTGTGATCATTCATTCTGAGGTCTGGTGTTAGAGACGGAAAAGAAGATAGAAGAGGGTTGGAACTCGGTGAGCAATGACATTTGGGAAATTTGTCTATGGTAAACACTAAATCGCCAAGGGCCTAGCCCAGTAAGTGTTTGCTGAATGACTGTGGTTTCAAACTGGTATTTAAATCTATGGTTTGTGATAATTATTTGCTGTACTAGGTATTTCTAAAATGTAAGCCTCGTAGAACTTTTCATACTTTTCTATAGCTACTTTTTTTTAAATAAACTTTTTTTAAAGAACAGTTTTAGGCTTACAGGATTATTGCAAAGATAATACAGAGTTCCTGTATACGTCATACCCAGTTTCCCTTATATTAACATCTATTATTGGTATGGTACATTTATCACTGTGAAGGAACCAATACTGTTGCTATAGATATTTTGAAGAAGAGACTGAGATTAAGACAAGCAAAGCTGATGGAGAAAGCCACTCTAAATGGAGGTCACAGTATAAGCCAAAACAGGAAGGCAGGAAAAGAAGTGATTATGCTTTTAGTCAAGGAGGTATGCAGTCCGGGTGAGGTCAAAAGAATCAACAAGGATTGAAAGGGAAGGATTTTTAGAAATTCCATGACCTTCTCCTTTGGGCAGTGTTGATACAAAATCACTCATGTGGCAACAGCCTCAGTTTTTGTTTGTTTGGCCTACTAGACTTAAATCCTAATGTATTCTTGCCTTTCCTCATATATTCATTCTACCAACTCCTCACACCTCACCAGGAGATGCAGGCAATTCTTTTTAAAATATTTACTATAACTCTGGAAGTATGGCACATTTCTCTTAGTAATATACAGTTTTTGGTAAAAATCACTATCTTCTCCCATGCCCCGCCCCCCGCCCCCCGCCACAGTAAAGTATTTAAAGATAATAACCCTAATAGAAAAACCCCACCATCAACAAAAAACAATAGTAATTATTTTTCAATGGATCTTCAACAGATGATGGGCTTCCCTGATGGCTCAGATGATAAAGAATCTGCGTGCAAGCCAGGAGACTCTGGCTCAAGCCCTGGGTTGGAAGAACATTTGGAGAAGGGAATGGTTACCTTCTCCAGTATTCCTGCCTGGAAAATTCCATGGACAGAGGAGCCTGGCAGACCTCAGGCTTCCCTGGTGGCGCAGATGGTAAAGAATTTGCCTGCAATGCAGGAGATACGGTTCAATCCCGAGGTGGGGAAGATCCCCTGGAAAAGGGACTGGTAACCCACTTCAGTATTCTTGCTTGGAAAATTCCATGGACAGAGGAGCCTAAAGGGCTGCAGTCCACAGGGTTGAAAAGAGTCGGACATGACTGAGCAAATAACACTTTCAATTTTTCCCTTTCAACAGATCATCTACTCTAACATAAACCTTTTCATAGTCAGTATCACATACTTTGTCTTCCTTCCTGTTA